GGTTTAACCATAAAAAGGTCACAGAGACGCCGATTGGTGCCTGACTCCTTGGCCTCTGTCACTGCAGCGTAAAGGGCTTTCATTCTGTTCTTTTTGACATTTTTCTTGTGGCTTGAAACAGAAAAGCATAATATGGATAAGCACGCATGAAAATACAGAGCAACAGAATACAAGAATAACTAATTAGGGGTAACAGACTAGAGAAGCTTCTGTGGTTTGAGAGAGAGAGCAATAGATAATTTTAGAAAATGTAAAACTGCTATACCTTTTCCTCTTGACACTCCCTGCATCAGATGACAGAATGCTGTCTCCATCCTCATCATCTCTCCTTAAAAGCTCCCTCCTCTTTGCCTGTCCAGACAGCAAGAGACAGATGCATATAGTATCACAATAGACACTCATGTTTGCTTATCTTTCTACGCAAGATAAGGGGTATCTCTGCTGGTCTGTTTCAAATTATGTGGATTGAATAGAAATATCTTCCAGCACAACCTGACAGCGATTAATTGAGAAATCATTACCTGCATGATCTGCTGAAGCCTGAAGGCTCGTTTGTAAATGCTTGAGTTAGGCATGTTGTAGCGCTTTGCATTCTCAAACATTAGATTGAGGTCAGCGTCCATCTGCTCAACACTTTCATACTCCCCATTCTTCATCTTTGTCCTTAAAAACAAAACAAAATTCACTAAAATTGAATTGAACATTAATCAATTTTGACCTTTTGGTTTTTAAATGTTCTACACTGCTGACTTGTATATATTGAATGAGAGTTCCTTACCTGATCTGCTGCAGAGCGATGGGCTGTTTGATCTGCTGATAATAATCGGGATATTCCCTGCGAGATGGCAGGTGCTGGAAGGGTTCAGAGAAGACCTGGCCCTGGTTGTTCCTGGCACCCCGCACAGCTTCATACAGCTGGAAGATCGGGTTACTCATCTCCATACTAGAACTCTGACTCTCAGCCTCTGACTCTCCCTCATCATAACACACAGAGCCTGCAAACATTCATATGGTAAACTGTTACACAAACACAAGGTAAAATATTTAATCTTGAAGCAACAATACTTACCAGAGAGAACAGGGTCGTCCTCACTCTCTGAACCGTAGTGAAGAGCAACGCTGACACCAGAAAGTCGATCACCCTGGCCAGACCTGCGATTTCTGAATAAGAACAGTTATGACACAAGGCTTACACCATTGTAGATCTTGAAAGAATCCGTCTTGGATCAGGGAGTGATTTGCTCTTATTTGCGATAAAAAGAATTGTACCCTAAATACTATTATTATTATTATTTAATACCTGATGCGAAGACTTGATTTAGTGGGTTCTGCATGTTCAAGTTCAGTCTTCCGCTGGATGAACACTTTCTTTATGGTGTTTGCATCCTGTACAGTAAGAGAACAATTGTTATTATTTGAAGTTATGTTAAATCTTATTGAAAAAGGAAAAGAAATCAAAAAGACAAGTTTACCTTAAAAACCTGAGATCCTGGTTCATTGTACATTTTGGCATTTTTGGCCATCAGGTCAATGTCCTTGGCCATCGCATTGACACCTTTATAGTATCCAATCTATTCAAATGAAATAAGTTGGTGCTAGTTAGAATAAAATATGTTGTGCTGACAAGAGTTAATTCAGTGAGTGAGTCTGATGTCTACCTGTATTCTTTGAGCAATTGCTCTCAAATCTATTGGCTCCTTGATAACGGCATAGTAGTCTGGGTAATGCTAGAAAAGAAAGACAAATATAAACTGATGAGATGAAGATGACTGGCACTATTAAACTGTTGTAGATTATAGTACAAATCTGAATGGATTGCTTTAGCATGAATGTGGCTTTCTTAATCGATCATAAACTTGTATTGTTGTTAGAGCTGAAAAATAAATGTTAAAAACATAACAGTTTCATGGGAATTGATGTTTACCCAAAGACTGTTCAAAGACTTACCACTTTGGAAGGCAGTTTCTGGAACAGTTCACTGACCAGACGCCCTGAGGGATCAGCGTGTGACACTATAGCCTCCAAGAGTTGCTCCAACACCTCCTTCAAACTACCAGTTGAGGTCTGAAAGGTGATAATTATGCATGAATTAGGTTTCACAGCAGCCCTTGTTTTTCTATACAATAAACTCGAGTCACCACAAAATGCAGATTAAAAGCATATTCACACATTTCACTCACTGATAGACAGACAAAGAAACTGAACAATACATTTAACTAGTACTATCACTTGCCTCATCCTCTGTTGACATTCCTGGATTATCCATCATGTCGTCACCATCTTCATCATCATCATCTCCATTTCCAGGCTGCACAAACTCACTCCTTGTTTGAAGATACACCTGCCACAGCTTACATGCAGCTTGATACTCCTCACTGTCCCTCTGAAGTGTTGTACATGAAAAAAAAATGAATATATCAAGATTGAGGGGCATGATATTAATTAAAAAAATTAATCTAATTCCCCTGTACAATAATATATAAGACTATATTGATTAATTAATTATTAATTAAAAGATAATTTCTTTACTACAGGACTAGTCATAGCTTAGTATAGTAATATGTGGAGAGAAGAAACATTGAAAAAGACGTTTTTAACAATAATTAATTTTAAACTCAGAGAGGGCATGTAAATACAGGAATAAATTATTAATGATGCAAGTACTCTCTTTGCTATACCATACCTTGTAGAATGATTTGGCATTGTTGAACATGAGTTGGAAATCAGCTGTCAGCTGCTCCACATCATTATAATCTTCTGACTTGAGTTTATACTGAATCTTTGTCATATCAATTGGTTGAGAGACAACTTCGTAATAATCAGGCAGATTCCTGAAAAAGTGCAAGAGAGGACAAAAAACATCACCACAGGCTGCATTTCATAACAATACACAGACACCAATCAGAGTGTCAAATCTCTGCATGGAATACAGTAATACGTGTGTAATAGGGTTTTTTCATGGGCGCAGAATTTATCTTGGCCAGTTTGTAATGCTATAATAATACCTTCTCTTTGGTACCCTCAGAAAAACGTCACAAAGTTGCCTTCCATGATCATCCTTGTGGTCCCTGACAGCATTGAACAACTCGTGGCAAACAGCGATCTGAGAGGGCAGAGGACAAATTAAAGATCGACAGCACCAGAGAAAATGTTTGCAAATGGTTGAATGAGAGGAGAGAAGACTCCAAATCAATTCGATTTAAGGTCGAGGACGCACATCCAACGATGACTGCCATTAAAATCAATTCAATAAATACAAGTGTATTCACCATATCTACAGGAGGGACATTGGAGATCCTTCTTCGCTTCCTGCCACTTCCAGGAGTAGAGGAGGTATCGTCGAGGTCTCCCCCTCCGCTGACGCTGCTGGAGGGTGAAGTGGCCCTTCTCCTCTTCGAGCTCGCTGACATTGCTAATCAACAAGCTAGCCCGCTAGCTACAAAAACAGCACAAAGGGGTTCATCTCAGTGTGGATTCTGACCCGGGTTAGACCCGATTCATACAAAGGTTAAAGGGAACATCGGCCGCTCATCTGTTCATCCTCAACTACAGTAGTGGTGTGAAGTGAAGCGTTAGCATTAGCACGAATGTATGAAACAAAGCAAAGAGCCGAGCAGCAGTTAGCATGTTATCATAGCTGGTTTGTCGCTTTCCTACAAACACGGCGAAGCTAAATATTAGAAAGTTACCTAATAAAACATATCAGATCTGGGACAAATGAATGCAGAAACTGAGTGTGAGAAATCTTACCCAAAACGCAGCAAAGTTTGTCGTAGATCCCTGAGCTAAAATGTGTGACGGCTAGCTGGCTAGCTACTGTTGTTTGAAAACTCCTGCCCGGAAGAGAGGTGCAAGCGCCACATCAGACAGCGCTGCCCTCTAGAGCTTAGGAGAAGTACTGCATCAAAGGGAATATGCCTCCTGTAAACAGATCAACAAATAGACAATGAATAGATTTTAATATATCTTTAACATAATAAAGTTAATATTAGAAGGCTCTTAGTTTTTATACAATGTAAGTCTGTAACCGAGGCATCATTTTGGCCTATTGCACCACGTGACACTGTAGGCAAGGTAAGTTTGTTATGTAGCACATTTTAATAACATGGTAATTTAAAGAGATTTGCTTGGAAACAATGCATTTATAAAATATGTTAAACACAGGGAAATATTAAAACATGACATTTTCTCTTGGCAGCGCTTTATAAAAAAACAACGAAGCCCGGTTTTTACAGCAACAACAACAATATATTCATTTTGTTATTGTTATTAACAAAATCATCGTAATATATGGTGGTGTTATTATTTTTCATTGTTAATGTTTTATTAAGTGCTTGTGAGTCATGATGAGCCTGAGACTTAAGTAGTTATGATTAAAAGGTATTTAGGATTATTTATTAATAACATGTTCATAATAGTCAAAGTGTTCAATGTCTTTGGTTCTCTATCATCACACCTTGGTATTCATCTTTTATGGACAGCAGAGCTACCCTCACATAAAGGGTGGACACGATATTAGAAATGATGACAGCGCATTGCAAATAACCCAGTTTAACATTTCTAATTTTATTTGTGGCTATTATTAAACAAGGTAGATGTATCAGAGAGATATTGAATCCAGTTTGTGGTTGATATTTAGATCAATCATTGGTGCTATATTGAATTCATTTATATTATAAGCCGTCCAAAGTATTCTGTTCATCCTCAGTAAAGCAGGTTGTCCTATTGTCATAGGAGGGTGGACATGTGGGAGTGTGGGGTAACACCCTGAACGTGTTTCTCTTAAGGCCTGTTGGTTTAAAACTTACACTCTAGGGTACATTTCAACTATGTGCTTTAATTGTCATGTTAAACACTGCATGTGTGTCCCCTGTCGGTGCTGTCATTCCTGTTTGGAAGGGGTCTGAAAGTCCCTGCAGGAGCACCGACACCCACTGACAGAGGGAAAACAGATGTACAGAGGAGCTGCACATGTAACAGCTCGAGCATCATGAGGTGAATCTCAGATCACGTTGTGCAGAGAGAACACAGGGTGATTTTATGCTGCACTACGTCCACAGACGACTGGTTTCTCTTGACGTCAGGAGAAAGTCTGAGCGCTGCGCACAAGCTCAGCATCCACATCGCTCCCACAGGGAAGGAGACGCGCATCGCAGCTGCAGATCGCCATTTAGGTAGGTTGATATTTTCCCTCTTATTTCTCCGTTTACCTGCAATGCAAAGCGGATTGTTCTCCTTTAAGCAATCGGACTTGTGTGCAGCCTCCGGATCCAACCTAAAGGATGCTGCCTTCATTTCATCTGACTGCCATATACCCTTGAGCTGAGCGCCGCAGCTCGCACACCCACTCCGCCTTCTTCTTTCTCCCGCAACTTTTACATGAACCATAAAAAAAAAGATTTCATTATTGCAGACGTATTGCACCAGCAAAATATATTTTTAATTCCCATTCATCCTCCAGATTTGTCATTCACGCCCTGCAGCCTTTACGCAGAGCAGGTCATCAGATGAGGGATACGGTTTGCGCCAGTGTTGTATATGCAGATCATTTTTCTTTCTTCAGAGAAGCCTTGAATGTGTAAGGCTTCCGATGTTAAATATAGCACGAGTCCCCCCCCCCCAGCTGGTATCTGCCTCCACTGACCATGCGTCTGTTTTTGCGACGGTAGGCATGGTCCCTCTTCTTAGCTCTGCTGCACTGTTTGTCCCACTTTCAAGATGCTATTCGTTGCTATTCATTGTACAAGACAATGTCAGCAAATAAGCAAGTAGTCCCCCTTGCACTGCAGGTTAATCAGTGTGCAAGCTAATTTTTTTATTCAATGTTTCTGCTCTGCCTTATAGAAGTTATATTTTCTAATTTACCCCCCATGTCTCTCAGGAGCAAGCGCCTAATATGAACCTGCAGCTCAAGGCCCCTCCACTGCTTCAGGTTTTTACTTTAGTGCTTTTGGACAACACACGCATGAGGTGCTGTAACACACACAAAGCACTTGATCAGAAAATCAATGGTTTATTTAATGACTGAAGGCAACAGTCACATCGGCCTGCCAAACTGTATTGGATCAATTGAACTGTTGCAGAGGCAGACTGTCACTCGCAGCCCGAATGCTCTCAATGAAATAAACAGTGCTGGAGTCATTGTGTTGCAATATTTCAACTGAAGTTGTGTGTCTGTTATTGTGTTGTTGTGTTGCTGGAGTGATGTTAGTCAGAAAGTGGTTAAAAACTCATTCCGATGAGATGCTGTGTTGTCTTGAGGGGAATGCATTGTGTTCACATAGTTCTTCTCTACATTCAAAGGGCTTTAGACTATACAAGCCAAATTCACCCATTCACACACACATTCATACAGAGCTACTCAATGCTGCACTTCTTCTATCACACACACAGTTTTTGGGTTCAGCATCTTGCCCATGTTATCATGTGTTATACTGCATAGGCCTGGGATCAAATCACCAATCCTCTGGTTAGTGGACAACCCACCTCCTGAGCCAATGTTTTCTTCAATAAAAAATGCTCCATTCAGTTTATCCAGCCATTGTCCAGATCAATATTTATTTATTTCAGTGCTTAATTTTGCAAACCGTGGGTCAGTACAATGTTTTTTCTTCTCTCCTTTTCTCCCTGTAGCTGTAGTGTGGCGAATCCGATCAGCGTTGTAGAATGCCTCTTGGAGAGGATGGAAATGGATGGAAGAAGAAGACATCAGACATCAAAGAACACTATGACTTCAAAGAAGTACTGGGAACGTAAGTTGCATACTGTGCGTTTGGCGATGTTACCAGTATGAAGCTGGATTATCAAGTAGGCAATGGTACCATTCACCCCCAGACCAGTTTGACTGTGCGTCAGCTGGAACACTGAATAGTGGGACTATAATTCAGCAAAGGTTTCACTCTATGTCCAGTGGATTGGTTTCATTTTCCTATATGACTCAGGTCTGTGTGGTTTGAGCTCAACCTTAAACCTGGGTTTGTCTGTTGGCTCTATTTTAGAAGAAGCCTTCAATGAGGTCTCTGTTTAATTATCCTATATTTTCTTATACTTATAATTTACATGATGTATAAATCAAATTACCACAAAACCAAACCAACTGGGAGTGAATTCTGAAGCCAAATAGTAAAGCTGCCATGTGTCATCTTGCCAGTACATAATTTGCATAGTGCTGAAGAAACCAAGGGGTCAAAGGGGCCCATCACTCATCAGCACATGCTGCCAGGCTGCAGAATTTCAGTCTGGACGCTGTTCTCTGTCGGATGCTGCCTCCACGCTCTGCAGTCTTCCCAACGCCAGTTTCCTCTAAGAAATACAAAACAATTTTAAAGGGATTGCAGTTAAGTTTTATGGATTGACTGGTCCAAGTCAATGCAAAGTAAATGACAGCATCATAACATTATCTGCTGATTGGATTTTTAACCATCCCTGACTGCCATTGACCGAGAGTTTAAGAAAATATCGTATCATGGAGCTGCAAATAGTGTTTGCAAGTGTTTTTTGTCACTTGCATTATAGATTTTCTTTGTTCTTTGGACATTACATTAGTATTGGTGAAGATGAGTAACCGTCTTTATGAACTAAAATAAACTGATCTGAAGAGACCTGACAAACTGAAGGCAGATTATTTTAGCCAATTTCCTGTATCGTTTTTCTGTTGTATTTAATATAATCGTTGATCAATATCTGATCTCTGACTTGATTTGTGCTCCCTCTCTCTTATGAATGGAAGCTGTAAGACGATACTTCATCCTGCAACTTTCCCTGGGATTGATTATTTTCTTAGCACTAATGTTGAACATTATTATTATTATTATAATGTTGAACATCTCTTTTTTCTCTCTATCCCCTCTCACTGTATCTGGAAATCACCTTTATTTGATTATTTAATGATTATGAGACATGGAGGACACAGATAATCAAGAGAAAACTTTGACTGAGGATGATAGAAAATGTGCAACTGCTGGTTTCAGTGTTGTTGAAGCTCAAGTTCAATCGGCCCATGTGGACTCTGCCCTAACTGTAGATTTATCCTGATTACATTTTATTATAGACTAGACTATAGTCAGGAATCCCAAAATAGATCATATTTACATTTACATTATCTAGATTTACTGCGTCCCTCACAGGATGAGCGGTATAGATAATGGATGGATGGATATTTTGATTTAATATGCCACAATTCTGCTTGAAGATTCATAAATAAATGAATCTTCAAGCAGCTGGTAGCGACGGCTGGACGCTCACAGACCTATGGCTGCAAACTCCAGGGAAGAGGACTGAGTGCAGATGGTCAGGGGCCAACTCTCCACCCCCCCGCCAAAACTGAGAACAAGTGACCTAGCACATGTTCACCTGTGATGACACCAGTGTGCCATATGGAGTGTGGTTGTTTTCCTCATTCTTGGAATCACACCTGTTACCCAATAGAGGCTGCACACAATCAGATATTAATGGAAGCAGAACTCTGGTCCACATCCAAGGCAGTGAGCTAACAGTGGGTAGATGATGAGGGTGTTTATGTTCAGTGCTGTGTGAGGACGTCCCAGTCTTTGTCTCCGAGCTGAACATGCTGTGTTCGGTGCACTCTGACTGTATATCTGAGGACTCCCGACTGCTGCTGAACGCTGATAACTTCTGTTCTGATTCCACCGAGACTTCACAGGAACTTTAAAACAGTGATTGTAATTTTAAGGCATGATACCAAGGATTATATAACAAGGATTGAAGGAGTCAATTGCCACGGTTGTATGTTCTCATTTCAGGAAAAAAAAAGCTGCTGTAATATTTTTCCAGCCCCCTCTATGACTGTAGCTGGACCTGACTGAGGGCAGAATTAATGTGTTGACGGAAAGCTCCTTATGCTCAGAGAGAAGATTACAGAGGAGCTTTATCCAGGAATTCACAGTGTGAAGTTAATTGATTTGTGTTGAAATGTTTTATTCAGATCTGCCTTATTCTCACTGTTCTCACTGTTTGGAGTCCACTTCAGGACAAGCTGTCCTTAAAGTAAGGTTCGCAGTTAAACATCCCCCAACTCTTCAGGTAAAACGACTCTAACGCTCTGATCCAACCTGATCTGATTTTCCTTCAAGTAAAAAGAACTAAAAATTCTTCGATATTCTGGCAAAGATTGACGCCGCTCAAATGGTAAATATGCCTTACCATTGCCTACTGTAAAAACTGGTGACAGGGAAACTGTCTCTTTCTGCCCAAAGGAAACAAAATACATTGATCAGCACATTTGCAGTTCACCAATTAACACATTATATCCTGTTTGCATAAAAACTGTGCAAAACTGTGATGGATAATGAAACAATTTGTTCAACTCTTATTACTCAGGTTTTTCTAAATGTGATCTGAGAGTTTTTGATGACCAAAGACCGAAGTAAGAGACAGAAGAGCAGCTCACATCACTGCAGGTGTTCTGTGTTATTGGTGCTACCAGTGAAAGAACTCAAAGTGTTATTCATTGTAACATGATGTATTTACAGTTTCATTGAATGTACATTGAAATTACTTTGAGATAGCAGTCCTCCATCCAGGGTTGGTTGTTTCCGTGTTCTTTCAGGGTTTGTTCGGAGTCGTTATATTGATGAATATAGACATAAGTTCAGTTTACGAGTTCTGTGGATGGAGATATCTTAGTGAGCCCCACAGAGATGGAGAGCATTGGACCAGTTAACAAATAATTTTAGACCACGACTCAGCAGTAAAACAATTTAAAAACCATCTACAGCAGAGAACGTCTTTTGCATATTGCTGAAGAAAACCTAGAGGAAGCTTGCAGCAGCAGTATATTAGCAACTCTTGAATGTGGCCCCAGTGCTTTTAATATTACATTTCTTATGGTTTTAAAACATACAGTAGATCTTGAAGTTGAAAAAGATATAGATGTAAAATATGGAGCCGGCCTGTTTTAACATGTACTTTGGTCCAGGTGGATAGAATAAACATTGTGACGGTGCAGAACCAAACACAGATGGAAAGCACTTGTGCAGGTTGGTTTATTGTTTATAGAGAAGCACAGAGAAGTTAAGGGGATTGACCTGCACATGACTTCAGCAGAGTGCATACAGGACAGACAGTTTGTACAATTACAGCCCAGTCTCAAGCTTTTTCTACATGTTAATGTTCATATAGTAAGATGTGGGGATGGGTTGGAATGACATTATACAGTATCCACTCTTTCCTCTCTCTGTCTCTCTGTCAAACACACAGATAAAGAACAAGCACACACACAAAATGGATTAGGCTAAAAAGAGAGGGCTTTTTTTGGACTTGGAGGCACGTTGGGGTTGAAGGGAGCACTTCCATCAGGTGAGATCGATCCACTGATGGATGGTCCGAGCTGTTCACAACAGGTCCAGTGGGGCTGACTCTGCTTGATTGATAGTGCCTCTAAAAATAAATTAAAAAACCTGAATAATATGAATAATATTTTCCATTGCAGCAAAACATCCATCACTGTGGGATGCAGCAGTCATCGCACGCTTGATCGTGTACTGGTGTACGAGCTGCACCATCGCACCAGCTGTTCATGAGATTAACCGTAGCCTAGTTTCAATGTCAGATTGGGAAGATTTAAAATTTCAAAGAAAAAACATAACGTTATTCATATTCAAAAGCATTAAGCTAATAACCTTCTGCTAAATGACAATAACATCAGCTAGGTTAGAACGATTGCTCTAAATTGCACGAATAAATACATACTGTATATAAATAAAAGAAAGTCATACCTATATTTACACATGATTGGCAATTGCAGTGGATTTTTTGTGTAGTCTATTGCTGCTACAGTGCTAGCAACCGTCCATATCAACTATCCATCCATTATCTATACCGCTTATCCTTGTATGGTCGTGTAGGGAGCTGGAGCCAATCCCAGCAGACACTGGGCGAGAGGCAGGGTCCACCCTGGACAGGTTGCATACAGAGACAGACAACTATTCACATTCATATCCATGGACAGTTTAGAGTCTCCACTTAACCTAACCCCAATCGGCATGTCTAGCCACCACCCATGTTCACGGGGAAGAGACTCCACACAGAAAGGCCCGGGCCACGCAGGGATCCATACTAGATAAGACATTTTTTTAATGGTGCAACTTTAACTTAATCAATAGATTTACAAAAAGCAGCCCTTGTAGTTTACATGTAGCCCATCGTGTATCCGTTCATTATTAAATGTCTTAATTCATAAAGATAGAGTCAGAGTTCTTGAAAACACAGACTACTGAAATAAGAGCACAGCGATCATAGTGAAACTGAAGTAGTGAGAGATGATAGCGACATGAGAATGTGTGAATAAATATTTGCTCATATGGACAGATGGTATTACAGTGATTTCAACAACTCTCTCCCTCTGTGAGTGTGTGTGCGTGTGTGTGTGTGTGTGTGTGTGTG